GCCAGTTCTTTCATTGCAGCTTTGACTTCTTCCTTCATTACCATTGGTTCTAGATCATATGCCACTTCCTCAAATGGATGAAGATCGATCAGTTCCCCTATTAGTGGTTTTTATAGAATACATTAAGCCCTATGATTTTTAGCTAATTTCTATACTATCCTGTGTCTTCAAACTGAAATGTCTTTCTTCAATCCCTTCTCCCATCATTCAGTTCTTTTTTAAGCTGGCAACTCCTCTATTCTTTAAAAATCCAGATCAAGTGACACCTTCTCTGCGAAGTCTTCTTGACCCCTTAGTTTCCAATCAAGGGATATGACCCATAGGCCATATCCATCTGACACCTGGTGGCGTAGTGCCTAAGGCTTTTGCCTGCTAACCAGAAGGTTGGCGGTTCAAACCCACCAGCCACTTCCCAGAAGGAAAGTTGGGCAACCTACTTCCGTAGTAACACCGCCTGGGAAACTAAGAAAGGGTCACTATGAGTCGGATCCTACTCGACGGCGTTGAGCTTGGTTTGGTTTTGGTACAAATTAAAAATAATTTTACACTTTTCAACAGTTGAAAAATATTCCCAAAAAGATAAACATTCACAGCACATGAAAATTATATGAAATTTGAACTTTAGTGTCCATAAAAAATGTGTTACTGGAACACAGACATTCTTCTTCCTTTACATGTTGTCTATGGCTGTTTTAGGACCACAGTGGCAGAGCTGAGTAGTCACAACAGAGGCCATATAACCTCCAAAGTCTAAAATATTTACTCTCTGGTTTTTTACAGAAAAGTTTGCTAATCCTAGCTTTAGATGACCAGTCTTCCCGAGAGGACCCTACATCTACCTCCAACCCAGTCATCACCACACATTTTGGAAGTGTTGGTTCTCTTAGGCTTTCTCACTGCTTTGAGGTAGAGAACACTTCCCAATTTGACTTGGTCTCCCTGATAAGGAGCATGGTGCCTGGAACCCAGGAGGCCCTTGGTAAGTAAAGGCATGAATGCATGAAGGAATGTGAGAGATCCCTCACTAGAATGAGTTACCTGAGGACAGGAGTTTTGCCTCCTTTCTTCCTTGTGCATCCTCAGTGCCTAGAAAACTCTCGACCATTGTAGGCACTCAGAAAATATTTGTGCAAGTTGTTAAGTGTATGAAGGTTGGTACAATGCTATTGCATTTTATAATTCTTAGGTCAATTCTCGGTCTTTCATACCATGCTATTTGGTGAGTGCTGGGAATAAAATTCGACCTTCAGAGCCTCAGAGAAACAAAGAAGAGCGTTTTAACTTTGTCATGAAGGGAAGCAGTCATGAGGTCTCTTCAAGAACACTGATTTAGCCCAGTGTTAAGTGCTACTCACTACAGGCATTTCAGTGTATTATTACCTATTCCTTTCTCTCTTCTAGCACTGAGCTCGGGGCAAGTATTAAATCAAGATCCTGCTGACACCGAGTTATTAAACACCGAGTGAGGGCGGCAGGCTGGTGGGGCGGAGTGAAACAGCATCTTGGCCGCCTTTCAAATCAGTATGAGGTGTACTTTAGGAGATTATAAATCAAACCCTAAACACTTCGTCTGGTCTCGGATGGCCTTTCTCTCAGTGAGCCAAAAGCTCTTTATAGAGATGAACTTATTAGTTTTCGTACCAGCTCTATGAATTTTCAGGGAAGAGGAACTAAGATCCCTACCCTGAGCTGCATAATGACCATCGTAATACCTGGCACGTTTACTACACTGTGTTCTGACCTAACGTGTTCTAGCCACGAGCAAATATTTTTCAGTGATGACAAATATGCCCACTTAATATCGGACCATATGATACTTGGCTCCTTATGAGATTTGTATAGATTGAAAGTGAAGCTTGTATCTGCATTGAAATAGTCTGAAATGTCTAGTGAGTACATGCTGTTCTCGCCTGAGGCCCAAGGACTTCCCCACAAGGCAGCCTCTTAAAATGCAAAGGACAGAATTTTTGCCTCCCAGTCACTCACTTCTGGTGACAAGGCCTGGCCAGTTTCCCCAGTCCTCCCAGCTCCTGGCAACATTGGTGCCAGTCTTCCCTCCTCAGTGAGGAGGGTGGACTGCCACACACCCCATTCCTGAGCGCCTGCATGGTTTCATCAGTCACTTGGTTTCTCAGCAGACATTTCCCCTTTTGCCTCATCGTGATGGATTTGGAAGTTGTTCACTTCCCCAGTCCTCCTCTTCCCTTTAGAAGAGCCTGGTCTTCTCACACAAAAGATCAAGGGAAAAAAAAAAAAGGAAGTTCTGTCTTGGTTTTTTGTTCCAAATTCACTCACATACACACACTATGTATACTCCCAAATGTACACAGAAATTCTTGTGTGCAACAACTTAAAAGAGCTGTTAAAAATTTAAACTTTCCCTCATATTTCTTTGAAGAACAATAATGAGCACTGATTGTGGGCACCAATGGAAAGAGGTGAAAATAATGAAGTCACTACCAAGGCAACTTGACTGCTAACCAGAGGCTGGTGGTTCAAACCCACCAGCCACTCCTCGGAAGGAAGATGGGGCAATCTACTTCCGTAGTAATATTGCCTCGGAAACCCAAGGAGGGGTCACTATGAGTTGGGTCCGATTTAGCGGCACTTAACAACAACAACAACAACTAAGGCAAACTGAAATCTCCACTGTTGTTCTAAGAATGGGGAGGCTTTGGGACGTTTAAGTCTGGTTGGAAGCTAGGATGGGCAGTGCTATGGAAATAGCATGGGTTTACAGTCAGAGATGATCAGTTTCATACATGACTTTACCACTCACTCTTACTTTCCACATCTATGAGATGGGAATAGCACCTTTTAAAGTTGTGAAAATTATTAGAAACCACTTAGCTAAAGTGTCTGGTAAATTTTAAGAATTCAAACAATTGTCCATCCTTCCCTGCATGGTGTAAAGCACTGACTTAGCTTATGGGCCTTTGAGACCCTCTTTAAGTGATTGTATCAGTTTTCTTTATAGAATAAGAAAATGGCTGAATAATATAAATGGACTAAGAGAAGCAGACCCAAGAACTACTGGAGAATATTTTTAGTGAAACACAATCACCTTGACTGGAGATAATCCAAAACTCTGTACATGAAACAGTAAGTATTGAATGGATGGCCCAGAACAACTTGCCAAGAACAGTGATTCAATCTTTAGGACACAAAGGATGTGTCACTAATCACAGTTAAGACAAAGGACTTTAGAAGAGATTTATAGCTTTCATCAATTTGAGTGGAGTATTAGAGTGAAGAGAAGGTAAGCTCTGCTATGCCTAGCTCTTATTTGAATTCAGACCTTCTTTCTTGAGTGATGGGGGAGGGAGTGGAATGAAAGCTGGCAATTAGAGGCACATGTCCATGAGCATGGGTGTATGTTGGGAACATTGGCATCACCACCATTTTCATGGTGCCAAAGAGGCTGAGACCCACTGGACAAAGGCTTTTCCGAGGAGAGCTCAAAAGGAAGCTTTGGTACCAGCCAAAGGTAACTCTGAACTTAGGGAGTTTAGGGAGTCCCTGGGTGGTGGTAACAACTAATGAGCTTGGCTGCTAACTCAAAGGTTGGAGCTGCAAGTCACTCAGATGCACTTCGGAGGAAAGGCCTGGTGACTGACTTCTGAAAAATCACCTCCTGGAAGCCCCGTGGAGCACAGGCCTACTCTGACACACACAGCGTTGCCAAAAGTTGGAACTGACTCAATGGCAACCAGTTTTTGTTCTATTTTGTTATCTTCCTTCATTCCTCTAGCATGTATTTCCTTCCACCAAGAAGCTAGCTCTAAAACTTCCACAACTAGTTGACTTATAAACAATCGAATTGCCTTCTGGACGCCTATCAGAGCTACCTGCATTTAGGAGTGTCAGCTGGCACGCTGTGTCTAACATCAATGCGCGCACAATGGTGAGGGCCACACGGGGGTCCTTTCCCAACCTTTTATCTCACTACAAAAGAGCCTTTTAAGAAAGTTCTTGATTCTGGCCTCCTGAGAAGAATGCACGTGTGAGTCCTTGGTAGCAACAGCCAGAGAAGTGGGGGATGGACACACTAACAGGTAAAATGGATCCCAAGGGAAAGGGGTGAATATTAACAATGCCTGTTACAACGAAGTCTACCTGGGGCTACCCGCCTAGAATTACCTTTCCCAGCCTCCCTAGAAGCTTGGAATGGCCATGTGTGTAAGTTAGATTCCATTAGATGGAAGCAGAAGTAGTGTGTGCTGTTTGGGAATATGCGCTTCCTCTTCCGAGAAACATAGGTGTGCTTTCTTGGCGCTTTATTCTTCTCAAAGGCTGGAAGATGAGAAAGATTCAAGAGCCACCCTGAAGCCAGAGTTGTGTGTCTATATGAAAGGTGGCAGAACAGGACCGGGGTGGTCTGCCTTCGGATTATTTGTTTAAAAAAGAAAGAAAGAAAGTTCTTGATTTTAATCCTTTAAAAAAAGACCTGATCAGATTTTCCTGGATATGAGGAAACAAAGAAAGGAACATTCTAAGACCCCAAGACCTTTTTGGGTGAGAATGTAATGTTTTTAATATTCAGCAGTGGTACATACACACCTGACAGAGGTGTCAACTCACAGAAAAATATTAGCTGTTTGGCTTAAGAAAAAAAAAAAGGAAAAAAAAAAAACTTCAATCCAAATTTATTGGGATTACAAAAATAACAGCACATTTCATTAACTCATTACAGCTCAGTTACCAAGGCATCCGGAGATAAGAAGAGCATCTTTGAATAAAATGCTTCTTGCCAATGTAAGTCTCATGACATAAAAAAGAAGTTTATTTTCATATTTACAAAAGAAGCATGCTGCTTGTTTCTTTAAATTCTCTTTGGAATTAATGGGTGAGGCTACTTTGTCAAGCCAGGGAACATTTCAAATCGAAGGTCGTTTAGAAACTTCTCACAGGCATTTTGTTTGATGCCACTGAACAATTGCGCATCCTCTTCTACAGATCGTGTGCTCATCGGAGAGCTTCTGGGACGTCCACCTACAAAAACAGGGCATTTGCTTTCAATGAAACAACACAAACGATAAGATGAAAAATACCTGTAGGTGAACCCTGAGTTGGGGCAACCACAACAACTCCGACACAGCTTAATTTTTGTTGCATGACATCCACATTTCACATTATGAAGAGGGTTTTAAAATCATTTGCAACTCTGTGGTAAAACTTCGGAAAAGGACTAATCCTTTTGGAAAGAGATGATAAGGCCTGATTTTCTTATTAAGGAAATTAGGGTTTATTATATGTTGGAGCTCTGGTAGCGTAGTGGCTAAGGCACTTGACT